AAACAGAAAAAACCCACTTCTTTCCTGATTATCTTGGTCAACTTATTTAAACTCATTTTGTCTCTGTTTCTTAAATTTGTGAAATAGGAGTCATGGCTTATGACTGCTACCTGGCCATCTGCTACTCATTGCACTACATGACAATCACGACTAGCCTTCAGTGTGGCTTGTTGATGATGATACCCTGGATTCCAGGCAACCTCATCTCCATGGTCCACACAATACTAATGCTCTCCTTGTCATTTTGTTTTAATCTAGAGAATGTTCTCCAGTTTATGCACTTCCCTCAGCAGGTTCACTTGTCCTTTTTTCCCTTGCAGAAATAGAAATAGTCCCATCGACATAATTATCTTTGCTGGCAGATTATCTAATACCAACCTTAAAAGCAAAGCAGCACTATGAAAAAAGATGCAGTGACAAACTCATTGAAAATGACCAATAAGAAAGAAAGATATACATTGACAACAGTCTATTTGCTTGTTAGAAAAAAGTAAAAAAAATATGATTGTATTCTTTGCAGTCATGTCAACAGTGTTTCTTTGCTTCCCAAATATCTGGTGGAGCAAGGAAAGGAGAGGATCACAGAATATTATTGGTCATGAGAGTGGAAGGCTGGACATCAGCGGATGTGACCTGAGCAGGTTCCATGGCCAGGATGGTGAGTAAGTAGAAGAGAACCTGAGTCTTTTCTTGCCCGCTTCATAAGCTGTGGGGATTCTCGTCTGTATAAGGGCAGACTGTTCCCAAGACTCCCATACATAGGCATATTGTTCTTGTGAAGAAGGCATGGATGGTCATGCAAATAATCCTTAAGACAGAACTAATTATGGAGGAGAATGAAGTGAAAGGCACTACTTGACTCAGTGTAAATGTGTGGAAGGGCTTCCCAGGTGGTGCTAGTGGTAAAGTACTCTGGGTAAGAAGGGCATTGAAGTGATTTCCAGGGACATTTAGCATAGCTCCCCAGGACTGGCCTTGACAATTTTCCTCTCTTCTTTCAATGGGTTCCTCTGGGTCCTCTCATACATGCATGGCCTAGTTTACCACAATCCCAGGCATCTGTGGCTTCGGGCTGTCTTTGGGCTACCTAGAGTCCCCTGTAGGGTCCCAGCTAGACCTGCTTGCCCACCGCCATTCAGAGGCACAAGCCTCAAAGACAAAAAAACACACAAAAAACAAAAACAACAACTCCATTATTAAGAATCTGATACTTAACAATTATGGAAATAAGCTAGTTAAACTTATTTCCTTGAGAGAATAAATAATAATGGTTGTAAGTTTTATTGAATTCTCATCATGTGCTATGTGCATTTTACACATTATCTCAATGAATTTTCACCCATGATCCTTGAAGTAGGTATTTCTATTACACCCATTTTATAGGTAAGGAAACTGAGGCTCAGAGAAGGTGATGCTGTCTACTATCCATAGGTTTCTGCAACTGGAAAAACCAGGATTCAAACTCAGTTATGTCTGTCACCCAAAGCTATGCATACTTTGTCTCAACTTGACCCTTAATTTTTACTAACCCTACTTCCGGTATTTGGAACAATGTTATTCATTTTGTATTGAGTAATACTATTCACCTGTTTGGAAAAATGGAAACAAATTCAAGTTATTTTGAGATAGAAAATGATAGAATATGAGCTGTCTTGCAGTTGTTGTTAGTCACTAAGTCATGTCCAACTCTTTTATGATCCCCTGGAATGCAGCCCAGCAGGCATCTCTACCCATGGGGATTTTCCAGGCAAGAATCCTGGAGTGGGTTGCTAATTCCTCCTCCATGGGATCTTCCCGACTCAGGGATCGAACCCAGGTCTCCCACATTGCAGGTGGATTCGTTACCATCTGAGTCACCAGGGAAGCCCATGATACTGGATTGGGTAGCCTATCCCTCTTTAGGGGATATTCTGGACCCAGGAATTGAACTGGGTCTCCTGCATTGCAGACAGATTCTTTACCAGCTGCATATTACACTTCTATTAATGGATGTTCCCACTGGTATTGTGCTGTTTAGTCGATCAGCCATGTCTGATTCTTTGTGATCCCATGGACTGTAGTCCACCAGGTTCCTCAGTCCATGGAATTTTTCAGGCAAGAATACTGGAGCCTGTTGCAATTTCTTACTCCAGGGGATCAAACCTAAGTCTTGTGGGTCTCCTACATTCTCAGACAGATTTTTTACCACTGCACCACCTGGGAAGCAATACCGTGTATTACACCTCTATTAAGAGTTGAGAAAGCTTCCCTGATACTGAGTGAAAAAGAATCTGCTTGACAATGTAGGATTACCCAAGAGACATAGGTTTGATCCCTGAGTCAAAAAGATCCCTTGGATAAGGAAATGTCAACCCACTCCATTTTTCTTGCCTGGGAAATCCCATGGACAGAGGGTGGGCTACAGTGGTGGGCTACAGTCTTTGGAGTTACAAAATAGTCCAACATAACTTAGTGACTAAACAACAACAATAAGAGTTGAGAACATAGCTGTGGATGGTAATAAGTCACCTAGTATTTAAGATGCTCAAAATGCTTTGCCTGTGGAATACAAATGTTCAAAACTGAGGATTGTAAGTAGAAGTCCTTTATCTATTTTTTGTTTTATCTTACACTTCAAGCCAAGTTTAGCCAAAATTGGTAGAAGACCTACTTCTCTTCCTTTAAGTGCTCTTGAATCCATGAGTCAACTCTTGAAAAATTAATGACAATTTAAAAAATCAATATATCCCAATTCACTATTGTAAGCAAAGGCACTGAATATTCTCATCATTAAAATACATTCATCAGTAGGCCTGACTCAGACTAATAAATGCTTATTTTTTTTAACAAAAAGTTAAAAGGGCCCAAGTGAATTTTTCCAATATCATGTTTCCAAAAATCCATATAATGCTGTAAACAGATTTTCACACACTTGTATTCTGGAAAACACTTGCATTAGATGAGAAAACCTATATAATATAGTTCTTTCTTGGATATTGACAAAGTATATTTTGAAGATTCAGAGAAGACCTTCAGTAATGAGACTTACATAACTTTGTTTAATCCAATATTTGCCTAACTGATTTAATGAAAGGATATCTCATGGTATTAATATTATGATGAGCAGAATTTGGAAAATACTGCAAAGGCTATGAAATAATTCCAAACATGTATGGAAAGATAGATTTCCTATTGTTAAATGCAATTTAAAACAAATTATACTGAAAAGAGTTTAACCAGAATTTCATAAAGATTAGTTACAGTAGAGATGACTATCTCTTTTTGAAGATAAAACTGTCAGACTGAGAAAGTATTAATAAATAACTTCCCTGAAGTCATATTGAAGAATAAATCTAAAAGATCTTTAACATAGTCTTCTGCCCTTTCTACAGATCAACACATGGAAAGAGAGCTTGCTTGAGATCTAGCAAAAGAAAAACAGTCAATTCAAACAACTTTTAATTTTTTTCCATAGAACTCACCTTATGACACAAAGGGTCAACTCTTCAAAAATCTGACAGAAACTGATTACTCAGATATATAAACCACCAGATGACCAAGCCCCAAATAGTGTTCCAGATATTAAGACTATTTCAAAAGAGCAAACATAATAATAATAAGCAGGTTAAGTTTGTTTTTTACCCATAGAAGAAGCATTAAGTAATAGAATTTACCTGCTCATCTATACTTTGTTCTGTAGGAAATTCATCCTCCTGAATTTTCATGCTAGGAACTCTGGGAGTCCTCTAAATGTACCACAGATACTCTTGGTCCTTCATCATTTGTATCCACTTTTCCCCCACCATGGTGCCAAAGTAAAAGTGCAACTTAGCTACCAGATGCCAAGTAAAGGCATATGAGGTGATGTTGATGCTACTGATAACTGACATTGATATCAATGTCTAAAACCAAGAGAGCTGATGTTTTAGACTAGGTGTTGGCGCTCTGTCCATCACAACACGTGCACCACTGCCACTGCTGGCCACCCACTGCAACGGAGGCTGCCAATGCCAGGTCTGCTGACATCTCTGCCATTTTTACCTTATATTCTCAATATCTCACAGAGATGGTAGAGAAAAAGCAATTTTCAACTTTTATTTGAGTTTTAGTACAACTTCATCCAGTGACTCAAATGGAAGACAACAGTGAGAAGGCCACAGGCAATATTCTCTCTCCCTGATATGGTTTATGGGACTTGATCAAGTGAGCACATCTCAGCTTCTTTTTCCCTTGGAATGAGGTCTTTTCTGAGTGGCTTCTCAGTCCTCTGTGGCTTTTTCCATCATTTGTTTGATTTTCTCAGACACAGGTCAGAATCCCAGGATGGACACAGAGAATCTGTCTAGAGCCCTGACTGTAACAGCCTACACCCAGCTGTTCTCATCCAAAGTGAGAAGAAATTGCTCCTTCACTGACTGTTAAACAGTGTACAGCCATTATGGGATAGACAAACCCAGCTGCAATGAGACTATCATTTTCCTAAATAAACATCAGCGTTAAAAATAAGAGGTTCCATGAAGCGGTGAAAAAGCTCTGGCCTCGGAAGCAAGACATCTGGACTTTGCCTTTTATTAGTTATTTGGCCTCATTTGAGTCCTTTAATCTCTCTGGACCTCAGCCTCTTAGTTTGGAAAACCCACTGGTCACTAAGCTTCTAGGCAGCCCTGACATTCTCCACTCTAATAGGTGAATCTAGGTCATCCATTTTCCACAAAGAAGGCATCTATTTGCTTTATTGAATAAAGCATTTATTATTACTGTTTCAACTAAGAGATTATTATTCACCTTATTTTATTTATAGTTAAAGACACTGAAGTTCAAAAGTTTTATGTTAATATATATACAATACCAGTATAAGGGTCGCATTCAGAAAAAAATGCATTATGTCAATTTAAAGCTGATTGATTATTCTCTTCAACATTATTTATTAATGGTTCCTTATTGTCCTTGTTTCCATAACAAAGATCAGTCAATATTTTGACAACAATACCCTTGACACATTTTCCTTTTTTTCATTCTCATTGCTAACTGCCTGATTTGGACCTTCTTTGTCTTCAAGTAGCTCATTGCTGAAGTAGCTTCTTACATGGCATCTCTTCCTCCTTCCTCCATCTCTTCCTCCTTCATAGTTCTGTCATATTATTTTATTCACACACCTCCAGAGATTCTGTATGGATCACAGAATAATATACAAACTTTTTAATCTGGCATTCAAAACTCTTACAATATGGTTTCAACATATTTCTATTTTTATTTTTCTAATCATCTTATCTTAAATTATGCAGATGAGTTTACCTTGAATTCCCCTGAACAGTTTTAAATACTCTTTCATTAAACTTGTTCCTTGGCTCATGCTGTTTGCATCCTCTGTCTGAGACAACTTTCCCTCCTAAGTAGGAAGGAATCTTATTTAAATTAAATCTTATTTGTTAAATTAAATTAAATTTTATTTGTCGCAAAAGTTGAGCTCCAATGAGCCCCTTAAAAAACTTCTCCATACCATGCACTGGAAGTAGTATTTCTCTCTGAATCATTGAGCACTTTATAAGTATCTCTTCTTTGTAGCCCTTATAAATGTTGTGATGTTTTGTTTATTTATCAATATCTTTCTCTCCTTCTAGACAATAATCTCTAAAGGGGGAAGAACCATACCTATTTATGTGTTCATTCTGTTCCCAGGATCTGACACAGTATCTGTCACATTGTAGATGCTCAGTAGGTAGTTAGCAAACAAGTAGCTGAATCAACATCTCTTAAGATCCATCAGTTTTTTAATTCATGAGGGTAGATATTTGTATCTATGTCTTGTCTTTCGTAATAAACTATTAGCTTCTTGAAAGCAATAAGTCTGATTCTGTTTGGTATCCCACAAAGAAAAATGCCTTCCATGTTGAGAATATTCATTTATAAATATTATTATTAAGAATTATTCATAGAAATATATTTATTAATAGTCACTAACAGGGCAAATTTAGGAAAAGACACAGCTTTAGAGTCCTGTAGCCCTATGTTCAAATCCTGGCTTTGTAAGGTTAGATAAAAAATATTCAGTAATATTTTCCAATTAAAATAAGCATTATATTTTATATCATTCAAAGAACTTTCACATATATCTCGGTTGATTGTCAAACAGGGTTAGATAGTATTACAACCCCTGATTTACAGATTAGGCAACAGAATTGTGAAGATAAGGCAATTGAGGCTTAGAATAGGGATTCAAACTAAGGTTTTTGGAGGTCAAAGTCTGTGTCTTTCCCATTTTCTTTAGTATATTGGCAGCATAGATGCAGATCAAGGGATGTGTGCCTTTGAATAATAACTTTTTTCCCCTAGAATTCAGGCCTCCTTTATTCCTCATCCACTGTTATGACCTCTGAAGGAGCACATTTGGAGTTTCTGTTGTCAGGATAAAAAGGCAGGAGAATATGTGTGGTAAGTTTTGGAAACAAAGCAGATTAGGTCCATTTTCATACTTGACAGGAGGAAACTACAATAAAGTCATAAAATACTTTTTTTTTTTTCCTCTCTGAAGTCTTCTTCACCAAACAGGTACAAAGTGAAAACTCATCACTTTTATTTAAACCAGAGATCTACTTCCTTTCTTTCTGTAAAAGCACTTGATCCCTGTGATGAAGCCCAAATCCAAATCAAGAGAAAAACAGCTCTTATTTATTACGCAGTTTGCTCTCATTATGTTCTTCCCAGAAATGAATCCCTGTCCCTCTCGGACTTTCTTTCACAGGACGCTCTGATCTGGCTCTCCCTCTCAGCACCAGGCGGGTTGTTTTGCCTGGCTTATCCCATCAATAGAATGCTCAGCTCCCTTTTCTCACACTCACAATCCAGCAGACCGTTTTCCTTGGTCATCAACAGAGAAATGGACAGACTGCACTTCTGCCAAGTTCCAAAGTGCTCTCGCCCTTCCTGAAGGATGCAGAATATTTGCTTTTTACCCAAAACATCTGGATACCTTGTGTGAGTAACCCTCTCCTGAGGGTGGTGGGTTGTTTGAAAGCAGATCATTCCAGTAAAAAATGTTTAGGCAGTTTAAGACAATTCTGATAGAACTTGGTAACAAAACAAAACAGATATCTTCCCCACTGCAGTTTCTACTCAATAGCAGGTGAAACAATAAAAATATTGAGCAAGCAAAATTAATCTGTATCCAGAGAATTTTAATAACAAAATTTCAAACAAATAATTCCACATAGATCCTCTGGGGTTTTGCCAGTAAGTCTTTAACAATCTGTTTTTAATAGCCAGACAATATACTACAGCAGCAGGCATTGAAAAATAATGAAAATACTTTGTAAATAACAAATAAAAGCTAGAGTGATGCTCAACACAATTTCAAAAAGGAACAAAACAGTGACAGCAAACATTTTGGCTGAACCACATGGAGTACCAGATATGACATGGATTAAATAATATCTATCAACTGGATGGCTGAGTATGACAGCCTCCATTCTTAATCCAGAGCAATGTGAAGGGATGTAGCCTGACTACAACTTCCTCTGTGTGAGTCAGATGTGCATGCTTAGTTGCTCAGTCATGTCTGACTCTTTGTGACCCCATGGACTGGAACCTGCCAGGCTCCTCTGTCTGTGGGATTCTCCAGGCAACAATACTGGAGTAGGTTGCCATTCCTTTCTCCAGGGAATTCTCCTGACTGAATTGACCTGGGATCAAACCCAGGTCTCCTACATTGCAGGCAGATTGTTTACCATCTGAGCCACCACCCTATGAGCCAGACAGCTAAGGGTTAATACAGATCTTATTAACAATTGTACTGGAATCATGAAATTTGGTATGTTTTTCCTTTTCTTTTATTTATAGCCCCAAAACCATCTCAAAACTTCAGAAATAAAAAATAAGTTTTAACAAGACACTTTTTTGGTAACCATTATTTCTCTAGTTAGTGTAACACCTCATTTGTCCATCACCAGTGAGGGAACACTTATTCTTCGTAAATTAATTTTCCTATAAAAGAAAGCAAGTTTCGTGTTCAAAGGAATAAATTTCATTTAGATATTTTTTCTGGAACTCTTTCTAAGAGATATTACATACTGAACAGGATTTGACCTTTTCTGATGATTCAGAGATATCATTATGAGCATCAATCACTGTGAATCGCCACCAACTCCTTTCTCTTAAAATGCACACACTGGAATCTCTCTCAAGCTGAAAGAAATGTTTATTTTGATCTTATCTGCTTGAATTACTCCCTTTATGTTCTTTTTAAAAATAACTTCATTGAGATATAGTTCATATACATTGCAATTCGCTCAAAGTGTACAATTTAATGGGGTTAGTATATTTATGGATTTGCACCGTCACCATACTCAATTTCAGAACACCTTCAAAAAGAAACTCATACCCTTTAGCCTATCATTCTCCTCACTGCTCATCCCCTCCAGCCCAAAGCAGTATTAATCTACTTTCTGTCCCTAGATTTCCCTATCCTGGACTTTACATCAGTGGAGTCATATAGTTCAAAGTCTTATGTGACTGACTTCTTTCACTTGGCATAATATTTTCAAGATTCATCCATACATCAGTATTCCATTCCTCTTTATCACCAAATAATACTCCATTGTGAGGAGTAGCAGATTGAAAAAAAAAAAACTCATTTCTCTGTTGATGGACATTTGGGTTGCTTCTACCTTTGACTCTTTTTAATTATGCTGCTATAAACATTCATGTACAAGTTTCTGTGTGGGTGTATACCTTCATTTCTCTTGAGCATATACCTAGGAATCTTATTCCTGGATCATTTGTCTGTTCTGTATTTAATTGTTTAAGTAACTGCCAGGTGGTTTTCCAAAGCGGCAGAACCATTTTACACCCTCTCCCTCAAACCTCAACAGCATACGAGGCTTCCAATTTCTCCACATCCTTGGCAACATGTGTTTTTTGACTTTTTGTTTCTAGCCATTCTGTGGGGTCACAAAGAGTCTGAACATCCCACGCGCGCACATGCACACACACACACAGAAATTCTCGTGGGTATGAAATGGTACTTCATTATGATCTTGATTTGTATTTTCCTGGTCGCTAATGATGTCAAGCATCTTGGCCATTGTGTGTGTGTGTGTGTGTGTGTGTGTGTGTGCATCTGTGTGCATGTGCTTGGTCAAGTCCAACTCTTTGCGATCCCGTTGACTGTATGTAACTCACCAAGCTCCTCTGTCAATGGGATTTTCTCAGCAAGAGTACTGGAGTGGGCTATTTCCTTCTACAGGGATCATTTGTATATCTTTGTAGAATTGTCTATACAGATCCTTTGCCCACTTTTAATTGATTTGTCTTTTTACTATTGGGTTGTAAGAGTTCTTCATATATACATAAAGTTCATTATCAGATATGTGATTTGCAAATATTTTTTCCCACTCTGTGGGTTTTTGTGCTTTTCTTTGATGGTGTCCATTTCCTTTAATTTCCTTCTGCTCTTGTTGCTCAGCTACTTGAACGAAGTTCCTCATAGTCCTTCTGGTCTGCTACATCTCACTTCTCATTCATTGCTAAAATCTACTGTAATGTGGTGTCAATACCCACTACTCCTTTGAAACCCTCTTACTAAGGCCAAATTGTTCTTATTAGGGCCAAAGACGCCTTTTTTATTGTTAAATCCAAAGGCATTTTCTTAAAGCTCATTCTACTTGACTTTTGACTCTTGGCAGTGGTCAATCTTCCTTTCTTTTAAAGTGTCTCCTTCACTTCCATGCTACCATTTTCTCCAGATTTTACTCTTATTATGTTAACAATTCCTTATTTTCTTTCTCTGGTCCTTTAATTCTATTTACACTTAAATGTTGATTTTCCCCAGAGTTTAATCCACCATCATCTTTTTAGAATATGTATTCTCCTTAAATGATCTCATTTATTTCCATGCCTTCAATTTCTGTTGATAACTCCCCCAATAAAACTCCAACTTCCACCTTGTTCTAAAGTTCAGAACTAGGTTTGTTTTTTTTTTTTTTTTTCTAAGTATGAGTAGCTACCTCTTAATCACTTAGAGATCTTGCAGGCAGCTAAATGTTTTCGAAATACCAAATACATTTTCCCTCTCATTGTTTATATTCTCTTATTCTCATAACATTGGGGCAAGGAAGCTTGGAATCATTTTCCATTAACCTTTTTCTCTTATGTTGGTCTCACATTGGTCAT